ACACACACACACACACACACACACACACACACACACACACACACACATCTACACACACCCCTGGCATGAATTTCAGGCCCTCAGCTCCCACGGGTGACAGTGATGTCATCCTCCCCGCCGCTCCATCCGTCCACGCTCCCGCTGTGCCTGGAAGGAGAGAGATAGAAATTACGTTACATGATGACGATTGCAAGTTTATGTAAGATTTATTTTTTTGGACCCTTGGTTCCAGTTTCACTGAATCATGGTGCAATAGTCCACTGCGCTGATAATCGGCCCCTTTCATATCAACTGTATTTTTTTGTTGGGGTCTTTTCTGAATCGTCGTTTTTACCGTCGACTACAGCTTTCAAGCGCACTGCAGTAGACCAGGATGGGAGAAAGTGGAACGGTGAATGGGTAAACGGATGGAGGGAGGGGAAGGTGATTGTGGGAGAGGGAGCCGCAGCATGAATCAAATATATGTTCAGGATGTTCACGCCATTTAGCAACAAGCATTAGTCACACTGTCTGTGACGAGCTTCACTGGAAAACAACACAACTGCTTGGTCAATTCAATGTTTGAAGCCTCGTCACCTCGCAATTATGGCGATTATGAAAAGATTGCAGCAAGACTCTCTCTAACCTCTTTGAGGTGACACACTTGGTGTTAACTTGGAGCGTAAAAATATCCAAATTGTCACATAATGTCACATATTTGTCACATAATGTCTTCAGCGTCATACCGAGTTGCGTCACAGCTTTTTCTCTGGTCTGGTACTACAGTTCAAACCAGTGGTGTATGGAAGTTACGGAGGGCCCGTAGTACACACCAGTATGACGCGTGCACACACCTCATCGTATTGTCAAACATCAGCATACGTGTGACCCAGAAATAATCATTGCATATCTGTGTACGATGTGAGAAAATAAGAAATTATTCATCTAATTTAATATTTTCACAGTTTACTTATAGTTTTTGTAGTTGTGTATAATAGGCATAAATACTTCTGACTATTTAACAAAAAAGAAAACCATTATGGAGATGGTTTCGCATTTTCGAGGGAATATCTGGCAAATTGAAAATATAAAATTTTACTGAAAGCTTTTCTTGGAACACAAGTGGTTTGTCGCACAAGTCCCTTTTAAGGACCCATTCAATGTCCAACAATGCTCATCAAATACATTATAACCTATGGAAATAATGGTGTAAGCTAGGAAGTGATTCATAACTCAATTAAGCTGTGACAACACTAGTTACAGAGCCCTTCAACCTGACAGTTCACACACAGATCGGGAATGAACTGTAACGTCCTTAAACAAACACCATTTCCCACAAGGGAAGGTTTTTTACAGATCAACACACAAGACATCTGGGACCATGAAGCACACTTTGTTAAGATTGTGTCCAAAGGAAATCCACCCGAGGAGTTTTTTGTCAATTAATGTTGATAATTAGATTTTGGAGGAAATTACAGAGACAGTGGCTCCTGTAATCTCATATCATTAATTTGGCTCTGATTCCTTGCGAGTAAAATGAGCGAGAACTTAATCTATTTCTCATAAAGTGGAGGTCCCTGGACCCCAGTTTAGGCTCTAATGCCTTGAGTAACTATCATCTTTGCTTGCAATAAATATCACTTAACATTCATTTCCTAAAGGAGGCATGCACTATGGAATGAAACCACCCAGCTGTTCCTATAAGAGAGAGGACAGACTTGGTTGCACGTGCAGTATGAAAAACCATTAATCCCCCTTTGCTTTCGTGACTCCCGATGGACCGCTCCTTCAGCAGGCAGATCCGGCACCTCAGGGCCACAGAACTGATACTGATCCTCCCTTCCCGTCGAACCCCCCCTTCCCCACGTGAGCCATCTTGTTCATATGTAGCTGTTCCAGGAAAAGTAGAGAAGCTCAACACCATGTATGCTTGATGTGTTAATCACAGAGCCGTCACCGATGAGCCGCCGGAATTGTTTAAACCAAAAATACCATCCTCTAGAAATTCCCTAAAGAACACCAACATTCTGTGGTCTGGGGTGATTAGGTTTCCTGTGATCGGAGAGTGAAAGTTGGCTCAAACCCAACCATTCATCATTGGGAAACCAGCTATGTTATACAGGTGTCTGCAATATGGGGGAGAATGTGTGTCAACACGTGTGTGTGTGTGTAAAGTGCACAAACTCAAATTGTTATCCAACCATGCAAATGACTGTTCTGCTCTTTGAATCAATGAGGTATTTCACGAAATGATAAAGTCCCCCAAGAGCGATGCAGGCCTCCTATGGGCCAATTAGGCCACGTTATAACAGTAGCCGACAACCAGATATGTGCTGGTTTTTGCAACAATGACTCGGTTCAGTCCAACATTAGCACAATATTTTAAAAAAACACAGCATCCTTCATCCTTTTAATTAGGCGACTGCGTTGCTGTTAGGGTCCTGACAATCTGACGCCTATTTCTAGGGTTCCGGAGTAGCCAGCTGATATCCGGGTCAATACCTCCTCTTCCGTGCGTTGCATTGTTCACAGTCTGATTAGCAACTTGAGATGTAAGAATGTAGTTTGAGTTTGAGAGACGACGTCTACGATGGGATTGTTTTTCAAGTAGCTAAAATCGCCGTCAGACAATAACCGGTGGGTTCAGAAATTGCATTTCGGCCAAAGCGTACCGTCACTTCACTTTTCCACACGGACTGTTTACCTGCGTGCAACCAAAGCCCACTTCAACGCAATTGGTCAATACTACTCTTCGTCTGCAAACAGACTTACAAACCCATAGCGCTTCAGATACCTGCAGCCTACGTTCACTTGCAGAATCTGTTTATAAAGAGTAGGGTCCTGACACAGAGGGCTTTGGCAAAAAAAGTTACACGCCAAGTCACCTCACCATTGGTTAATCACATAGGTACAAGCACACATTACAAGCAGATGACTTTGTGACATTATTGTAGTTATTACACTGTTAAACAACTTTCATTTTCTGTCAGAAAAGGCAATGAAAGCAAACACAGTCTGCACCAATTTTCACTGGGATTGCTTAAAGCTGCACTAACCAGATTTTCTCTAAATGAATAATGGGTCAGATGACTGCGGGTTACGGAAGGGATTGCTGGAAGTGACAAATCCACAGTGAATAAACGGACAACTCTACTGGTCCCCACAGCTCCATGGGGCTTCATAGTATCCATCCACTCATTGTTTGTTGTTAGCCCACAACGTTACTGGTTTGGTTCAATTTCAACACCCTCAATCTCATCAATCCCATTCCAAGCCACAACAGACAGATGTTTTCAGCACCAAAGCTCTGATGCCGCATTGTCATTGTCTGATGCACACTGCACACTAACCTGCTCAGCACCGAACAGCACACAGTGGAACATTTAGCTGCTAAAGAGACAGATATTTCCTTCTGGAATTGGTGGAGAACAAAAAAGAGACAAAAAAGAGGGTAAATAAATCAATGCTAATCTCATGCAAAAAAGCAAGTGTTTGCTGATGAAATTGCCTTTACAACTTCATCAGGTGTTATGTCATTGTTGTGCTAACTGCTTCAATCAATACATGCTTCCTCAAGCATTCAGAATAATTTAAAAGAAACAACAATCAAAGACAAAATCTACTCAGTTTTGCTAGGATTGTGACAAAGATGTGTCTTTTGAATTCATTCACCCCCATCAGGCTGATGGAAGTACTACATATTTAAACTGTGTCCAAATGTATTATGCCTCAGATTTTTCTCCGTTTCTGAGATATATCCTTTGTCTTTCAGGGAGCAATAACTGTCATTCATAGCATTCACTGCTCTCATATGGCTTTTGAAGCTGGTAACGTCGTCCCGACTGACAGCGTCGCCGTGGAAGCGTCGCACCCACCCTCTGGTTCCCCCCCTCAGGTAAACAATGTTTGCACTGTCAGCACATTTACTAGTAGTTTGTACTGTTAGCGCTTTTAGCATCATTATAGCTACAATCCCCCCAATGAGCATTTTCCCGTTGAATAGACGTTTAAAAGACGTTCAGAATTGGTTCAAAAGTGAAAGTTTTTTCGCCGACTATTTGTAGACGTTGATTAAACGTTCACGCTTAGACCAGATTGAAACGTGATTTGCAATACTATAATTTTTCGTCCTCTACATTGTGCTAATAATAATATATCATGATTTAGAGGCTTACTAAGAAACCACATCCACATTTATCAGTTGAAAGCCAGTATTGGACATCACGTTGATATCTGGTCTAAACGTGAACGTTGAATCAACGTCTTTAAATAGTTGGCTAAAAAACTTTCACTTTTCAACGTCATTTCAACGTCACCGTGTTTTAACCATCAAAATGCTCTCAGATCAATATGTAGCAACTAAATACTTAATGTTAGTAACACATCAACAGTTTCCACTTACAGGACAAAAGACCATTAGTGACACAGGCAACAGTTCCTTTGTATTTATTAAAGCACAATATCAATATAAACAATGTTCATTATATAAAACCATAATCTCCTTCTCCTTCTTTAAATGTCGTTTTCAAAGCCACACAGGAGCCGGTTTCAGGAGATCTGCCATATTTTCAAGCTGGACATCTGTAAATAAAACAAGTATTTAAAATGTGTACAGCCCCACTCACTGTCCGTAGTACTACGGACAGTAAGAAAAATACGGAAAATACACGTGTAGTTTACATGTGAAATGTCCTCTATTTTATAACGTTGGGCTACAGGGACAGTCCACAAAGAAAGTGTCTCCAATATTAACTAACACACGTCTATGTTTACCTTCGTAACATGCTAACACTACAAGCTAACATGCTAACGCTACAATTGCTAGCAGCCTCGCCACCATGATGAGCATAACATGATATTAATTGTTTGGTAATGATATTTCGGTTTGCAATATTGGAATAAAGTAGTTCAAGTACTTACAGAGTATGTCGTTAGCGTGAAGCCTCGTTTATTCCGTCAGCTCGTTCATTTCGCTCATCAACTCAGTAAGCTAGCTAGCATCGTG